ATCCGGCAGCACGCGAGGGGTTTCGAATTTCCCGCCAAATCGAAAATTGAACGACGAATAATGATATTTATTTGTTGTTACGCGATTGACTTGTTTCGATAATTAAAATATTTAATCTGAGCCGCGTGCAGCGGAAAATCCTGTGCGTGTGCAACGGAGTGGGTGTGAGGTAATATCCTGTACGAGGGAAAAGGAAGGCATGTTTTCGCAGATTCCTGGGGGAAAGAGAGCGAGAGGAAACGGGGCACCAAAAAAAATAAAATAAAAAAAATTATACACGAAGTACGAACAGGAGAGGCAAAGAGGAGAACTTTATACTTGATTAGTAGCGTTAAATTAAGGCCGGCGAAACTTAATTAAATTTTATATAATGAACTAACTGAGGAAATGCTGAACAAAAATAATTAAAAACCTAAATTTGCCCTCTTGCTCGGCGGAAAGAGCCCTGTGTGTACACAGTAAAAGTGACAAACTTAATTAACAGCAAACCTGCAGCCGCCGGGCCGCCCCACCCCCTCGCACCTCCGCCGCCGCCTCCGCCCCCCTTACACCCACCGGCTCCACTAAACAAGGGCGCTCTCGACGTGTTGCCAACGTAAATCTTATCGCCCTCATTGGATTATTGTTATTTTTACACTAAGTAATAACGACAGCTCGATTTTACTCGGAATTGTTCATTTTCTCTTTCTTTATTTAAATCAACATTTTCGCACTTTAAACAAGAGTTCCGTCATAGCGACATGTAAATAATAATTATGTTGATTCTAGAAAAAAAACATATTTATTCTTTTCGAATCAACACCAGAACTATTTCCGATGAAAAACAATTTATATTTGTTAGCTTTCCATATTTTTCTTGCAAAGATCCAATTACCTGATCGTAATTATAGTATTGCATTCATTATGTACTGAGATGTAATCATATTTGACTGTACAATAACAATGTGGGCAGGTGTCGCCTACGTACAACAAACATGCATTAGACTAGACTAATCCACACAAAGTCCTTAATAGAAATGAATACAATGTGATCTTAAATAAATATTAACATTTCTTCATTCTCAATTGCTGCAGTCTTTGCATACGTATTGCAACGTATGGAAAATGCGAAATTGCACGAATTGTGAAATAATCCTGTAAACTGGAGCCGGTTGCGTTCAATTTTTAAAATTAACTGAAAATAATAAATATGACATTTTCCAATTCCGCCGCTAACATTTATTCACGAATCAATAGCCATTTTAATTACCAAAAATTCATTTTTATTATGCATTTATCCACATCGGTTTGCAAATATAAAGAAAATGCGTCGCTGCCAAAAAATTTCCTCCCCAATTTGTTTTGTTCGATTTATCGGAATTAATATTATTACGCTGTGATGAAACATTGTTATTATTATTATTAAAGCAAATCAAGTTTTATGTAGAAAATATACATTTTTAATGTTAATTTCAGTGGATTGTGTTTTAATTAAGTTAAGTGGATTTTATTTATTCTGTTAAGTAATTACAATCTAGTTCCATTGTGCAGGCAGAATCATATTTGACATTTAAAGAGAACGAGACAGGGAGAGAGAGGGTGCAGCCCGTATTAAGCTTTCTAAAAGGCTTAGGCAAATTTACGGCTACTACAAAGAGCCCCTGAGAACTTGAAATATGGTCGTTGATTTAAATTAAGAAGACATTGTGTTGGTGTGTTTTTTGTTGTTGTTATATGTTAATTAATCAAGTAATAACGTTTTGTAATCGAAATAGTGGTTGAAGGTCTTATGTTGGAGTTGTTATTGTTCTCGCTACGGGTTAAGATTTATAAATCGTTTTATTTTTATTTCTATTATTGGATGGTCAGTCAATATAATGTGGGACGGGGGGCAGAGAGTGTAGTTTCGATTCGGGTGATATTAATAAAAGCGGGATGGAGAGGAGTGGATGGGGAGGAGGAGGAAGGGGACATCAATACCATCAGTAATACACTTAGAAGTCCGTGCATATATCAAACATCTGACCATTATCCAAATTGACTGCTGTAATCAAGTAAAAAGAATTCAATCCACTTCCAAATACATCCACAACGTGTCTCTCCTTTCTTTCTCTATATATATCTGCGCGTCTCCTTCTCGCGCGTTCCATTTCCACTTGCCTTCTCTCGCTCACTCCCTATCGTTTCCTTCTTTCCACGTCTGCCCGAGAGCGGTCTACTACAGAGACGTACACAACTGAAATTCTTTATGGAACCCGCTCGCTTTTTGTCACTCGGCTACATTAATCCTCCCTTTATTCTCCACCGGAACCGCTTAAATGGTTCCCGAGAGTTGAGTTAATAAGGCCGCAGGAACGAGATTAACATATTCCAACAGGACACCGGTATTGGATGGCACTCGTTCCGGGCTTCCAGTGTACTTAATCAGTTAATAATCTAATAGAATGTAATCGTTAAGTAGAGGAGTGTTCGGAAAGTGTCGATACTAATACCACCGGAATAAGTTTACAAAGTGCAGGGAGCCCTTTTAGCTAAATTGAAAGTGGATACGTTACAAATGTCGATGAAGCAGTTTAGACACAAAACAGCCCTCAAACTCACCCTCTCACTCTCTCGTACACACACATTTGCCTCATCCTTCTTCTCTCTCTCTCATCTCATCTCACCCTCTTCACATCTTTGCTTCTCAATCTTATCCTCTTGCCATACCAGCAACGAATTACTCTCTATTCTAAATTTACTATTGAATGCCAGTAATAAAATTATGCCTCCTGTTTTATTGTCTGACTATTATTTGTCGTCTTCTCTCTCTATACTTTTTTTCTGCTCTTTCTCTTTATTATAGTATATATCGAAATTGCTGGTGGCAGTTGCTAAACTCGCAACAAAAGCCAATGATTTTAGGGAGGCAACTATAAATATTTTACGAGACGCCATATAACAATTTATACTGCGTTCTGTGTGCGAAATAAACTCGGCCACGGTTGTTGTAATTGTGATGCTCCAACCCAATATATAAATATATTCTATGTAATCGCGTTTATCAAGATGAAAAAAAACAAAACATCATTAAGTGGCCGGTTATGTATCGTGTCTCAAATTAAGTAGTCTTTAAATATTCCGTTTAATATTCTGATGAGACGGAACGAAATCCTCGTTCGTCCAAGACTGTAAATGAATTATTTATGAGCAATCGATACAGCAAAACGTCCCAATTTACTGCTGCCCTTATATCTTAATTAAGTATATCTAATGGTATTTAAATTAGATTCGACCGAAAGAGTGTCAAGTTCAGATAATGCTGCAGTTTAAGTGGCAAGGAAATTGGTTCACTTTATCTAACTATCCATTCCTAATCAAGATAGTTATGCATTTTGTAATTATAAAAAAAAAATAAATGCATTCCTTGCAGCCGTTATATCTTTCACTACTGGAATTTCTATACCCGTTAGATGTTAATATAAACATATTAAAATTATCATGCAACAGAAGAGATTCACATTCCTTCAATTTACTTTATTATTTAGTAAAATATAACAAGATTAATGGAGATTGGTATCAATCAAATATGTTTTGTCTTCTGGATGGGAATCGTAGAATTGAGCTTTCTTGACTAAGATCTTTTTTATTTCGTTATAAAAAGCAAGCAGCGAGAGCGAAGAAGGCTGTTATTGTCATTTGTGTTGAATGGGTTAATGAACTAAATGTAATTTCAATTAAACTCAGATGCTCGTCGGATTTGTAGATGGTCGGATGGTCGGAGGCAATGTTGATTTATAGCATTTCTGCGACTTTATTGTCGTCCGGTTTTTATCTGGTCCGCAAGCGCGAGGCGCGATTCCCCAAAGATAACAAAGCCATTAAGCCGAAGAAGACCAGCCTCGGCCGGTGGAGGAGGAGGCGAGCGAATTTAATAGTTCGAAAAACGGCGGGTATTTATTTAGTTTACGCCGGCGGATTTACGGCTCGCATAAAGATACCGGCGGTCGCATAAATCCGTCGACGTGTTCATTTGTACGTTAATGTTCCGTCTGCGTGTGCACGTATGTGTATGTGTTTCTATGCTCTCTGTATAGAGAAAAAAACGCACGCATAACATCGAGATGTTACCCAGACGTGTGTGTGTGTGTTTCACATCTTTAACGCTCGTGTTCTGCTCAATGTCGAGAGATATTGAGCAGCGAAACGATTTGGAGGCTCCTTCAGTTTCGGGGTTGCATTTTTTTGCAATTTCCTTCATCTTTTTGATGGGAGAATAAAACGGGGAACGGTGTGGGAAGGAGGAGGAGGAGGAAAGGTGGTAATTTTAATTAAAAACTTGGAAAAGTGTTCTTTGTTTTGGGGCCGGGACGAGGGGGGGTTTTTTCTTCGGCGGAACAAACAGGACAACCAGCGGAACTGTCTGAATTCCATTCCCTTCTACGTAGAAGAGGAAGATGGAGAAGACGAAGAAAAAAAAACGAGAATAAAGGAATGAAAAGAAAAGAAAAATAAAAGGGGTAGCTCAGTCAGTCTCTTTTTTAATCAGAATTAAGAGGAAATTGCGCACATAGAGAGTGTGTGTTTGTGTTGTTGTTTTTTCTCTCGCTCTGTTAATTTGTTGATAATGTTGTTGCTTTAATCGAGAGTCGAGATTAATCTCCGTAATTAATATATCCTCCTCCATTCGTTTCGTTTCATTCCGTTCCATTTTGCTTGCGCTTTTTGTCTGGCGCGCGAGGGATGAGAAACTTTCCTCAACTATTTTAATTTTCATTAGACTAATTAAAATGAAAAGTCTCGACGCCCCGCCACAACGCCCCACAGCATTCTACGCCATCCCCCAACCCCTGGCTACAACGTCCATTAGTACACAGTTGTTTTTTTTTTGTAGATTTATTTACTGTATTTTCTACTCTTTTAATTTGTTCGCAACGTACATTAATTTCATTAAAAAAGCTTTTTATTCATTCGCTGCTTCATATTTGTGATTAACTGAAGTTAATAATGCGACTGTTAATATTCTTGTTTGATTGTTGCAGATCAGAAGGAGGGCGAACGGCCCGATGATGACGATGGATGTGTCCAAAACAGAGGCCGCGAAGCCGAACGCGAGCGGCGGGCCTCAAGAGTGCGCCGGCTGCTGCAAACCCATCACCGACCGCTACCTTCTTAAGGCACTCGACTTATTTTGGCACGAGGATTGCTTAAAATGCGGCTGCTGCGACTGTCGATTGGGCGAGGTAGGCTCCACCCTCTACACGAAGGCCAATCTGATCCTCTGCAAACGCGATTATCTTCGGCTCTTCGGCAACATAGGATATTGTGCAGCCTGCACCAAGATCATTCCCGCCTTCGAGATGGTCATGAGGGCACGCAGCAATGTCTACCATCTGGAGTGCTTCGCGTGCCAGCAATGCAATCACAGGTAACTAACTAGCTAGCTGGCTAGCTCGCATCACAATTTTAGTGATGATTCATTTCAGCTGGTCGGGAATACAATGGGGATAATAACGTTCCGGACGAGCGGCCGCCCATAAACCCTCGAAATCTGAACATCGCGATAAACCCCGGCCGGCCCCCATTGTTTACATGATTGTTAAATTTATGTTTGTACAAATTAAATCTGCGCGCACAAACACACACGGACAATACGTGCACCACACAAAATAGCTCTGATATCTGGTCGTGCGTCTGTGTACAACCCTGTGTCTGATGCATCATTGCTTGTATATATGTGAAACACACAGAAACACAAACACATTCATATAACGAGCCGCGCAGCTCAACACTAAACGAGCCCATATCTGTCCGGATATGTCAGAATATCAACTGCGACCCGAAGAAATTTATTGCCCACCAGATAGATCCATTGATGCCGCCCGCCCGCACTCTTTCTCTCTTTTCTTCTTCCTCCGACGAGCACAATCGGACCGGCATTCTGGCAATTTTCAGATGCGGACCATTATATCCTCGGCGGTGCAATGTCGCGTGAAATATTCATGTGATGTGTCTTAAAACAATTGCAGCGACGACCCCTCTCTCTTTTGTTGGACTTTTACTTCCGCCATGTGATTGTTCCAGTTTTTTTATTGTTTTCGTATTTCACTTGTTGTTGAATGGAACTGCGGGGACACTAGAATGTTTCAATTGGTGCGACCCTAAATCACGGAGGCCCTTTTGTGACGACTGCGATAACACCCTATTTTCAACTTGCAAAAAAAAATGAAAAACTTCCTAAAATCGAGCAGATACCTTTTAATTAAAATGATTCTATGATTTAGGATCTATGATCAATAAATAGATTTTAGTCATTTCTACGATTATATCCGAATTTTTCAGTAAATTAAGTTCATTCATTTTAATGTTGTAGATATTACGTACTTAATGGTGCAATCAAAATTAGCATTGTAGTTCGGAAAGCAGTAATGAGTACCATTTTAGTTTAATGATTTGCTCCACTACTATTACCACTCAATTAATACAGTGTTTTACCGTTCAGAATGTTTCTGCGAAACGACGACATCAGTATATGGAACTGTGAACGCGCGAACACCGTTTCAGTCAGTTACAACGATCCTCGACCATAACAAGGCTAAACGCGAATCGTTCTCAGAATAAAGAGTATCGCGTCTTTATGTAACGTTGTTAGTTGCTTTCAAGAAAAAACTTAACGTCCGCAATATTTGATGATGACGTTAAAAAGAATACAAGTAAAATCGACATTTGCAACTGATTTTTTTTTGTTTGTGCTCGGGCATTGTTAGTTGGCGAACGAGGGGAAAAATAAAAATCTCGCTGCTGGTTCTGCGACCGGCAATCAAATTAATGGTTTTGCAATGAACCCATTGATCTGTTGAAATTCTATTAATGCAAAATTTCCAAATCAATTAAAGAGATTGGAACCGTATCGATTGTTCCCTTTTTTTTTGTCCCCATCCGCTAGCTATGTCGCTGTGCGTCCAGAGTTTTCACTTTTGCGTAATTTGCTACGTTGTCGCTGTTCGTTCGTGTATGTGTGTATACATGGGGATATAAAACAATTGTTGCCGCCTCCGACCGACCGCCACCGTTTCACGCAATGCTCGCGAGTGCGTCCATGCGAAACGATCCGCTTTTATTGTTTGTTTGTTTGTAATTATTTATTTATTATTTAACTCAATTACGGCCCGACGACGCAACGCCAAATCCGTTTATTCTCGCTAATTCGATCCAGTTTTCCTTGCGTTTATTTTCGAATCTCCGCATAAGTGCTTTGAAGTTTCATGTAAAATGGGTCGTTGTCCAAGACGCTGTGTGCTAGGGGACGTGATTCCTCGATTTGTCCCGAGATGTGATATCAAGGGTGAATAATGTAGGAGATTGTTGTGTAGTGTCGTTGGCCTGAATTGTGTGTGTGTGTGTGTCGCGGCCCGTTTATACGGCAATCTGGGCACTGTTATAATATATTTAAAAAGGGGCGCGCACATTGCAAGGATTGGGACGGATTGGGACCGCGGCCCAGATTTCCCACGCGACCCCTAAAAGCCGGCCACCTCGCACCGAGACGAGACGTCTTACTGCAATTTTCTGCTCGCAAATTGTATTCAAACACGACGGGACATTAAACATTATTTAACTACTGCTAATTTCACTAATGCCTGCATCCAACCACAAAATAAACCCTTAACTATTATCAACGACTGTAACATTTCTTAATAATTACTTTGTCTTTTCTGTCAATTAACAATATCAATTGAGAACTTATCACATTCACTTTCATTGTAATACGTTTCAGATTTGAAAAAAATGAAATATTTACAACTTATATTAAGAATTTTCCTTGCTTCCTACTAATATACGGATTCTTTAAATTCATTAATTTGCGAATGCTTAGGAAGATCTAATTATATATTAATTGCATTAAAAGATCGCGTAACATGAAGCGTTTCCTTTCGTATTCAAAATAGTTGATGTAATATTTATTTTAGAATATGGTTTCATAAGAAAAACACATAAAATTGAAGATAATATAAATAAGTCATACATATTTTCATTTGTGTTGTGATTTAGGTCTTTTTTTTTTTGCAAAATTCACAAGTGTTGTAAATATAAAAGTCAGGAATTTATCTTTTGACATAACATTAACAAATAGAAGGATTGGTCACATTTTATCAATTTGTTATAAACAGGTTCTATTAAAAAGTAAATAAAGGTTTATAAATCAATAGTTTTCAAATAATTGTGAATTACGCGATTTTCTCGGCGCATCCGCCAGAAAAGCGAGCGAGTGTGTGCGAGATAAAGAGAGAACGAAGGGTAAATTCCTTGCCTTGTATTGATACTGTAACTGTTGTGAGGATTGTTTCGGGCGTTTGAAAAAAAAAAAATATTTAATAAGAAAATTAATACAAAATATAGAAGTTATTAATTACAATATTTACTACCAGTGGAAATATTTACAACTTATATTAAGAATTTTCCTACTGATATACGGATTCTTTAAATTCATTAATTTGCGAATACTTAGGAAGATCTATTTATATATTAATTGCATTAAAAGATCGCGTAACATGAAGCGTTTTCTTTCGTATTCAAAATAGTTGATGTAATATTTATTTTAGAAAATGGTTTCATAAGAAAAACACATAAAATTTAAGATAATATAAATGAGTCATACATATTTTCATTTGTGTTGTGATTTAGGTCTTTTTTTGGCAAAATTCACAAGTGTTGCAAATATAAAAGTCAGGAATTTATCTTTTGACATAACATTAACAAATATAAGGATTGGTGACCTTTTAAAAAATTGTTATAAACAGTAAATAAAGGTTTATAAATCAATAGTTTTCAAATAATTGTGAATTACGCGATTTTCCCGGCGCAACCACCAGAAAAGCGAGCGAGTGTGTGCGAGATAAAGAGAGAACGAAGGGTAAATTCCTTGCCTCGTATTGATACTGTAACTGTTGTGAGGATTGTTTCGGGCGTTTGAAAATGCTCCGTGATGGATGTGACAGTGGAATATGGTAATCCTGTACGCGAGAGTTAGTTAATCCGCGCAACGGAATATGACAAACGGTGCTGGAGTGCGATTACTCATTAAATGCGGCATCCCCCTAAAACCCACTCGCTCAAAATCGCTGAAGGGGGTGGTTCGCGTATATTGCATTGGAAACATTAAAATCAGATTAATTTAATTATACCGGAGCCCCTCGATTAACTATTTTCAGACGTTTTGCAGAGTGGGATGACGTGCCGATCCTGCACCAAATACGAAATTGCCTTTCCCTTCATTTTCCTATCGAATATTTCCACATCTTTTTTGTTTGTTTTGTTTGTTTTTGTTATTTACCCTATACGCTCAATACCCTAGGTGTGTATCCTCTTGCTACACTTTTTGTTTTACCTTTTTGGCGATTTATATAGTGTGTCGTTTGGTATTAATACCTTGATTTATACATATTGTGAGCGTGTGTTTAAATCGCTTTGTTTCGATTCGGTTCAGCCCCTAAAACTCGATGATTTACTTTCGACGCTCAATAAACGGATTATACGTGCTGGATGTGCGCGTTGTCGAAATCCTACCCAACGTTGTCTACTTTTTTTTTTCTGTTTCGTTTCGTTTCGTTTGTTTTCGCTCATAGTTGCTGTATTTTTTTTGAACACCGGCCGTTTTTCTGGATTACAAACTGCAATCAATATGATGCATTCATCGAACAATACATATTCATTCATTTTAACTCTCTCTCTCTTCATTTTGCAGATTTTGCGTCGGAGACAGGTTCTATCTATGCGAAAACAAGATCCTCTGCGAGTACGATTACGAGGAGAGGTTAGTGTTCGCTAACATGGCATACAATCCGCCCCCACTATCTCACCTCAAGAGGCAAACAGCCATACCACCGGTAAGTTCTAATAAACTTAACTCAATTACCTAAACTGTTTACTCTACTCATTGCATTGCAAATTCATTCAAATTAACGTAATACTACATATAATTGTTCAAAATATTTGTTGTTTGATGCAGTTGTACATTTAGTTTGGATTGACGTAATCGGGTTTCTTTTCGATTACGGCGGTGCAGCCAATTTAATTTCATGGCACTATGACCGTGATCAATTACATATGTCAACTGCAGATTGAAAATTTTAATTAAATAAATAAATATTTTGTCGAAAATCGTGAACGAATCAAACATTAAACAACAACAACAATAAATAAATAGCAAAATCGAATGCAACAAAATAATGTAATTCGTGTTATGTTTTGAATTTTTTTTGCAGCCATCGACGCTACCCAATCAAATGATGAATGGTCACCGTCCGCCGGCGCCCGCATCAAACGGTGATTTAAACAACAACATGTCCGGTTCCGGTCAGCAACCGCCGAACTCCATGGCCAACCAACAGTTTCCTCAATCGGGTCATCTGAAGAACAGTGCCATGTCTCTGGGTGCGACCAGCTGAAGACACTGAACGAGCACAAAAGTGCGGCTGTGAATGTTTGTTGTGCGCGTACGGAGGAGAAATGTATATAGTTTTTGCTCAATGTTTGGACTGGAGAGAGAGAGATGACGTGGTGCAATATTGCTAGGAATGTGCGTGCGATCAAAGGACAATCGAGATGGATTTTAGATCAAGCCAAAAAGAATAAAAATTAAATAATTGAAGAGGAAGTAAATTCATTATGAAATAATTAATGTAAAAAAAAAACAGTATATATAAATATATATATACGAAATTGTAAAACTGCGACATTAATCCTGTACATATTTAAAACAAGAGAATGTTTAGACTTAGCAGTTGTATGTTAAATAAGTATACTATACGATGACGATGATGATTGATAATAATAGTTGTTTCCAATGTTATATTTACTTGTTGCCATATTTTCATTTTCTTCATTTATTGTACAAAAAAAAACTTTTGTTTCCGTTGAATCGTTTTCATTTCGAGACTTGGTCAACTGTTGTTGTTAGGAAATAAGCGAAAAAATGAAAGAGTTTCGAATCAATTGCAGAAAACGTTTCGATTTCTCACATTCTTTTTATTTTATTTAATTTTTTTATTCTGCGTGTGCGTGTGTCACTGTTAGTAAAAAGATCAATATAAAATGAAAACAATTACCGGTGCCAATGATTTTTTTTAGGTGACAACTTCTTTTGTTCTTGTGTACTTTTTCTGTTTTTTTTTCTGTTTCTTCTTCCTCATTTGATTCTATCATTATTACATGTATATAAATGTCTAATCATGCCAATGATTCTGACCAAAGATATAAACGATTTATAAAATTATTTACTGTGTTTTATTTTTACAACCACAAACCTACGTCCACTGTGCGTCTGAGAGACGACGATTCACAGTTGATTTGAACGTTCGAACAGTGTTTATTTAGCCACGAAAAGAAGGAGTTTAGAAAATTAGTTAAAAGAGTCATAAAAAAATAGTTGCAGCTGCGAATTAAATCGACAAACGTTAGATGGATCGGGTCTTATTAATTTTCTATTGGTTCTATAGTTCGTGTCACACATTTTTCTTGTTAACTGATAATTTTTTTTATCAAAATCTAAACCAATTGACAAAATTGAGATGTGTCATTTCAAATCTATCTAATTTATTAGCAACTTGCCAAATAATTCATTCATTGTATAAGACTAAGAAAATAGTAAACATTCTAATTATTAATAGTAGTTAATACTAATTCTAATTATTTCTCGTATTTACGGATTCAATTAGTACATTTAAAATTTGCGTTCTATGAAAAATCGTCTTATTTGGTCACGAAAACGATTCATCTGCAGCTGCGCATGTTTAAACAATCTT